AAGGTTTGGCCAATCACGAACTTCGACCACAGCGACGCTTTTGGTCGCGCACGTCGCTAATACATCAACAGACTGTTTATAAGCACGCCCGCTTTGCCCACACCAGGTGTGCGCACTGGGCATGCGCAGAAACCGAAATTTCTGACGAGTGAAGCGTCTGCGCACGCGCAGTTTTGACAGCAGCACCACCACAGTGGCGCGACATCAGTGAGTTGACTTGCTCACTAGAGATGCCGGAACGGTAAGTACCCAACCGGTTATAGCGGCATATTCGCGGATTATCCGCGGATAACTGGCCGATGCGGATGAAAATGAATCAGAAATACCAGAATGCGGATGGATGCGGATGACTTGGGCTGCGGATCCGGATCGGATGCGAATAATTGCGGGTTCGGATCTACATTTGTTACCGAGGCGGCCCACAAACGTGTACGACCGCACAGTGTAGAGTGAAAAAAAAAAAAAGTGTGATACCGTAAGTGCATCATCGAACGTATTGCAGGGGCAAACTACGCTGTGAGAAAAGAGGTCCCAATCGGGGAGAACATTGTTATTTATCTTAAGAAAGATTTGATTACCATACAACATCGCTTTATAAAGTTCTATCTCGCCATTAATGCAGTCCCTAGAAAAAAAAATAAGTATCCAGGAGTATCAGTCGTTCCGGGAAGGCGTACTTTTTACAGCGGAGCTGTTGAGGGCTAGTTTCCCCAGGATCGTGTCCCCCGCAAAGAAATGTCGACACAAAACTCTGGTTGCCGCCGTCGCTCATAGATGGCGGTAGCTGTCCAGAGTGTTGTGGTTGCCGGTTGTCCGCTTGCCGCTTTCGCTCGGAGATCGCGGCAACATTTCTTCGGGGGAAGAAGAGCGGGAATGGAATGAGCGGCGAAATGCGCAGCAGCGCGAATGGTTTCGTAATCGCCGCGAGGCCGCCATCGCCTAAAGTTACACTGCGTCGAGGGCTTCAGATTTCCTTGCGAAAGAAGAGCAGATCGCTCGTCTGAAAAGCCACCACCGAGAACAAAAGTTACAGCTCCGCTGCTCTTCCTTCTTCTCCAAAATGGAAAGGCTGAAAGTGTTTTTGTCTGGCAGAGGAAGACCGCAACACGGTCTTTTGGCAAGGAAAACCAAAGACATACAATGGAAAGGAATGTAGATGTCTGCAAGTGGCTTCTTCGCCTACAAGTAGATCTAGGAGACTGAATTGTATCCTCTGGAATGGTTGAACTTGCGCCAGCGCGAGTTTCGGCACCTCATTCTTGTAGCGCAGTTCGTGCATGCCAGGCGAGCATCAAGTGCATCAAGGGAGAGAGTCTTCTCATTAGCGGTTATTAATTTAAGAGAGGCGAGCAAGTCGGAACCCGTCTATGTTGGCGATATTTTGTTTCATCTACACAACAACTTTTACAAGTAAGCCATTGTGTGTGAGTGCGTTATTATTTTTTTTTGACAGTTGGCCTTGAAATGTTTTTAACTATATGGTTCCGAGCATGCAGTTGAGGCTTCGTGTTTAAAGCTGAAACTGATAGGAGGTGTTGCCATTATTGAATATTGGGCTTTTTTCGAAGTGGTGTACAAAACACACACGCGAGTACTTTGCTGCGCTGAGTGAGCGCCTTTGCTATCACACTTTTATAATGTTTTGCCTAAACAAAATTACACAATTTTATTAGTCTGTAGTTTGTTAATTTTCTTGTCTGTGAAATGTGCATCTGGTTGAGCTAGGTTGTACAAACGTGAAATTATATAAATATTAAAATTTCCTTCCTTTTAAGCGCATCTTCTGGACAGAATGTCAGTGTCACGGACTCCCAGACGCTTTCGTAGCTACGATCATTTTCCATCGATACGAAGTGTCTCTGGAAGGACGATCGCTTATTTAATATATCTGATAAAGCAAAATACGACGCAATGACTTTGACGGTATTTTGACAAGAGGTGATTGTACAAATGCAAGCAGAGGGCTTATAAAATACCATCCACGCGTCTTTTTTCTTTTATCCATTCTTGATTTTATGACGCAAAATGAATGCGCAAATTGAGGGTTGGATGCGTTTCAGAACATTCCAGATGCGGTTAGGAGGCGGATACAAAATCTGCGGAAGGGCATCAGATGCGGAAATAATTTGTTAAGAATTTTCCGGATGCGGTTCGGATGCGGGTACGAAGTCTTCGGATGCGGTTCGGATGCGAATGATCAAACTTTTAACCGGGTAAGATTTAGTTGTATCAAACGACGTAGGGAACGGAGGAAACGCAGGCAAGTGGGCGAGAGCAGGCGAGTTCCGGATTTCAGGACTATTGCCCCCACCGTGTCTATAGCTCACCGGGCAAATTTGGAGTCAAAAACAAAGGTGGTTGTTTGATAGTCCGTCCACCGTGCACAGTCCATTCCTGATGTTTAGTCGACAGAAAAAAATATTCTCATACACGGTAAACCTTGCCGAATGTCTGATTTATTAGCTCGCAGAGAAGCTATAGCATCACATATCAAATAATTTTAAACATACTCTTTCACTGGCAAAATTCTTCACGTCATATTGATCGATCTTGAAGAACAAAATTCATGTACAGTCCGCACATGTAGTCCACGTAAAGTACAAAGTTTCAAACAAGTGTATTCCGCGGACCTCAGTCTGGAAAATACGGGAATTCCGACACCCACTCTCCCTCTCTCTCTGTCTTTCTTTCGATCTCTTTTTTGTCACGGGATGAATTCCGTGGAGGCGAGGAGGAGCGTACAGCACCTCGCGCGAGGCTTTTTGGTATTTTTGTGAAAGCTCCATGCAACCCGCCTTGCACAAGGCAAGAAGAAAAAAAAATGGCGGCGTAAACAGGACAGGTTTTGAATTGAGTCTCGATGCCGTATTCGTACATTTTTTAGCATCTGTAGCTGACCACTCTGTGTGGTACAGACGGAAAATACTCTACCTATAGATGCTGGATATGGAGATGCGAATAAATTGGCTGACCGCAAAATATGAACGACAAAAGACAACATCGGCTTTGGGCGAGAATTATTTCGACTACGTATATTGTGCTCTATTCATGCGACCAAAATAACTTTTACTTTGGTTAGAACCACATCCGACGTTTTGGACGCGGCTTCGACCTTATCTTACGCAGCATTGCACCAATAATCTTCAGATTTCCAGAAACCACGAAGGTGTAGAGTCGTGCATATGTACTTCTTATTTCTTAACGCGAAATTTTCGAATAGTCAGGAATGTCTGGAAATCAGCGAAGATTGTAGCAAATGACACCGAAGGTTCCGACGTCCTCCGATCAGCACGTCTAAGTGTCTAGTTGTTTTTTTTTTCTTGGGGAGATAAGGCGTAAGTGATAATGAGCCCTGCAGAAGGGGAACAGATGGGAAAAGGAAAAACACAAAACTCCAAACACAGTTAGTTGACTGGTGTGCGTTGAAAAACTCCGCCTGGCCCTGGTATCAAACCAGGGACCTATCCATATCCTGTTTCTCGTTTATTTCATATAGCTCGCCTAAACCTTTGAATTTTTTTGCATTAACAATATAAGGTGTCTTTCTTAGCCACGTAAGCTATGCCTTTAAATTACTACACTATAGGGTACTTCATCCGATGCAGCAATCAAAGCAGGCTTTTGAAAACCGCAGATAATGACACGTACACGTATCCTAAACAATACCGGTGTTCGTACTTCAGCACAGCACTCTGCGAGCCAATTACCGCAATCAACGTACTACATCCACATCGAGAAAATCCTCTGGTGAGGAGGTTCCAATACAAGGGTTTTTTTCAATAATGGCGGTAATGTGTTCCGATATCAGGATCGTATTAAGAGTCCCCTTGTACAGTAATGAGCATACTAGTGTAAAATATGAACCTCATTGTGGTCACTTTTATGTTCGTGTGCACGCCGCGTTTCCCCAGTTGTTTTTGTACTGAAAATCCAAATGCTTTTATTGCCAGCTTTCCAAGTTTATCACCACGAAAAGTTCCTAAAAAGCACGGTGTCACATGCGTATGAAGATTAGGTGGTTGGTGCCCCGATGGGGTTACGTGGTAACATAAAGTTAGGACACATGACACCGCAGCGTGAAGCCATTACGTCACGTGACCTGGTCACAAAGTTGGTGTCACGTGACCATGTCATTCTGATGGCGTAACGTGAGCACCATCTCGCCTCAAAACAACTCCGGGGTTTGTATTTTGTGTAATTCTGAATTTGAGAACTTAATCAACTGGATTATAATAATTTCCGCTGTATAAGTCACAGATCTTTTGTTACAAAATTTACGTCCGTGCGTTTTGTACTAAGGTGGGAATTATGTGCGCTTTTGTTCTTCAAGAATGGACTTTAACTACGTAAATATTCAGCGCGGGATCTATTCGTCGCTCGATTCGTTGACAAGAACGTTGAAACTGGCTCCCGCTTGTGCATTTACCGAGATCGCAATACAGACATGCGGGCTTTTCAATACAGTTTCGAGACACCAACTGGCACAAATGTACAATTGCGACTAACATAAAGTGTTACTAATATACAGACTGTCTTTTTCAGTGTGAAAGCACGCTGTTTACAACGCGCAGTATACAAAGAAGCCCTCTTTTGCCCGCATTTGCAAGAGGTGATGCGTCTGCGTATGTGCCATACCGACAGCTTCAGAGCCACGTGTTGGTGTATACAACTTTTTCATAAGAGCGCCGCCATCTTGAATGTCGTCACTTCCGAGATCGCAGAAAACATTGTTGGGCGGTCGCTACGGAAAAAGAAGACATTTAGGATATTAGCGTAACCGTCAGCTATTCTCATTTTGCCTCAGCTCTACTTCTTTATTATTTTCAGGGTGAAATGCTTTATTTTTTTTCCGTCGCCGACACCAGATACGTCTACCCGGTGGCTCGAGGCAAGAGTGAAAAAAAAAAAAATCTGTATATGTGTGGAATACACAGGGAACTATTTCTTTGTTTGGACTATTCGGAGTGTCGAAAACGGAAGAGATGTTGCGCCGTCCTTACTGCGTACGATGACCCTCACGGTCTGCTGAACGGTGGTGCCGGTGCCGCTGTCCACGGAGCAGGTGTATTCGCCCTGGTCCTTCGCCTTGTCCACGGTCTCCAGCAGGAGGGTGCCATTGGGGAAGACGCTCTGCCGCTGGTTTACTGGCAACTCGCTTCCGTCTAGGGGGGCCGGGAGAGGAGAGAAAAAAACAGCGAAGAAACAGTCACCGCCTTTTCTCAGAAACAAAGTTTGGCCGGAAACAAGAAATAGCTTCATTAAAGAAGAAAAATATTCCAAACGTTTGTGGAACCTGAGATGTGATATGTAATGTTTCCCGAACCTCCAAAGTTTTGGGACAGTGCCTAGAACGTGTCCCTGACTGGCAAATTTAGCGTCATGTTCCGTTCGTGCATCGCAAGTGGTCACAAAGTGGCATCAAATGACGTCACAAAAGTTGAATATCATGCTGTTGAATGCGGCGATCCTGGCGGTTGGGCGTATAAGTTCTGGGGGAAAAGCACGAGAGAAACCGAGTGTCGCCGTCGTCATAAACGGCGTCCAAACTCCAAAATGCTGAAGCTTCCGTGGGCTATCAACCTGGAGAGTGACTTGCATGAAAACAGACTTCTGCCACACGTCCGACGGCTGCTATGACACCGGCAGGGTCGCGGCCGGCAACAGTATGACACTTTTATCACATACCCAAAGGCAAATAGAGTGACCACTTTTTTTTAAAGAGGTTAAATACCAGTCGGAGGCGATTTCCCCGCACCGTATTTATGGCAAAACGCTGTTGCCCACATAGTTCTAAACAAATACTTTGAGCATTTTTAAAAGATAATCTACGTAGGAGATTATTTTAAATTTTAGTCATGTCCTATCTACACACTTGTCGCTGTCAGTTTTTCTCTATGCTATTTGCTACCTAAATATACACCAACAGCTCTGCAACACATTTTATTACAGTAATAATGATAAGTAAAATGTAGGCAGCAGGATCATCGTTTAACGGTTTGGTTAGTTTTCTAAGCTCCTCCGCCATGTGGCGTCAGCTCGTTCTCACTTTCCGCGCATGTGAAAAACAGACGTGCTTTATTTTCTCTTAGGTGGGACGCGTCTCCAAATGGTGCGTTTACCGCGTCCAAAAATGTGGTGTCTGGATAACGCCATAGAAGTGTCATGCTGTCGCCGGTGCGATTCTGGCGGTGTGACAGCAGCGGTGGTGGATGCGGCATTGGCAGACGCCTGTGCTGCCGCATCTTGGTCTCCAGTCTGACAGTACACGGGAGCTTCCGCTGTTATGAGTCGGGACTCCGTGACGACAGCGACACTCGCGTTTGCTCGTGCTTTGCGCAAGAAGTTCTACGACCTACCAGCTGCATCGGGTCATCCGGCAGTGTAACACGTTGGCTTTGGAGGAGTCATTTGTTGTCCCTTTAGGACGACTTTTGGAACATCCGCGGAAAAGGCCGCGAAACATACCCGTCAGAGTGGCGCTCCAGGCACCGTAGAATAGTCACACGCTTGTCCAAGCTTCCGTTAAAAGTCTTAAGCGGTCAAAGCCGGATAAACTCAAACCTCGGTTGTTTCGCGACATCCCGATTGTGAACGTAGCAGACAATAAATACATCACAACCATGCCCACCCATGCTGTTTTGCCAGAAATAAAACCGGGACAACCTCCTCTTGCAAAGTAATGTCGAAAGAGTGCATCGCTTCGAGGGAGGATCTTGCCCTGCATTTCTTAACCTGCTCTGGAATAGAGTATATGGCACAAGTATTTACGGCATTGCGGGCGACGCAGCTGGAGAGAGGAGTGCAAGAAAGCGATACGGAATTGTTCCCTTCAGTAGTGTCACAACGCAGCTGGACAGAAATGCAAAGTAAACTTCGGAGCTAGCTGGTCAGCTTTGCAGTAGTTGGAAATGCTTTTTTTTTTTTAAATCAAAGTTAAACGATTTTTTTTTTTACATCCAAAGCTGATGCGACTACAGTAACAAAGCGTTTCATATTTTCAAAAGAAGCTTTAGTTAACCGAGTTGATTAAAGAAGGTGATACTAAATAACGAGAAAAAGGCTAAGAAAGGCGCACACGCGACATGTATCAACGCAAACTGCTTGAGCTATGTCGCATGTATACCTTTTCTACCCTCCTTCGTCAATGACTTCACCATGTCTAGAATATATTTGATCATCGTGTTCTTCATTAATATTTCATATATTAATTAAAGCTAACGAAAGGAATGTCAGTTCTGTCACATAAGTCTCCAAATTATTCTAGTCGGGACATTTTTTTTTTTCTTAAAGGGGGAAAACTACGTTTTGCTTAGATTTTCGAATATAATAATTAGTGAGACGTTTTGCGCTGATAGAGAGTCTCTCAGAGCATGACACGTGCAAATCTGATTCTAGTGGATTATGTTCATAAAAAGAGATGTAAATGAGGAGCGACTTAAAGGAGCACTGCAAGGACTTTTTTACTGGTTTTTAATTTGCACCAAACCTGAGTGCACTAAACGTAGCAACTTAATGAAACATTCCTTTTCTCGAATTTTGCTTTATTATAGAAGTTATCGGCAAATTAAGTTTACAAAAACAAGCAAAAAATAACCTTCTTCGTGACGTTTTTGGCCGATTGAGTGGCCGTGAACTAAAGGAGGGGTAGTGAACGCAGCGAGCGCTCACGGCTGCCGCACTCCGTGTCGACGGCTCGAGAGGGCACCACTAAGGCATGTTCTGGATAGGCTGTATGAAGCGGGTAGCCAGGGCGGCTCGCATTGCATTTGCTGCGCGATTAAACACTAATTCGGCATGAAACTTCATTGGCCACAAACGACAGCAAAAACGGGATAAATATCAGTTTAGAACGGGAGCCACTTTGCGCTTCCATACCGCGAAATGGCTAAACAGCAAGGCAAACTTGCGCCGAAGGCATTCGGAACGCTCGGAACCGGTCGGGTCCTCGAGTCCGTAAACGACCGCAGCGCCGCCGCGCACATCCGGGACCTTTCTACACTCGCCGCTCGTCGGCGCCTGATTCGACTACCCCTTTCTTGTATGCACCGCCTTTTTTCCCACTTGGTGGCGGGTATGTCGACGGGTCATTTCTGGTTTCAGGACTTTATAAACTGCATTTGTTTCTTTTCTGATCTAAAATACTGAATAAAAACTACTTTCATAGATAATTGAAACGGTTCGCGGCATTTATATTTTGCATTTGACTAAAAAGAAGCTTTTTAGGGGCTCTGACCAGTAGTACGCCCAGTACCAAATACCTCACATTTCGCGCGCTTTCGGCATCGTGGGTCGCTCCCGTAGGTGGAGGAGGTTTCCGCGTCGTCCGGTTAAATATGACTCTGGGATATTTAGTTACTCTCTCCGTGCCCGACTCGCCCGAACCCCAAGAGACGTGGAAACCGCAAAAACGGCAGACGCTTAAATATGATTGCAGGGCCCCATTAACATGCGATTTAAATAAAAACGGTACATTGTCTGCTTGGTTATTATGTATATATCGTATTTTCAGAGATGCCTCCATAAGTAGTGACATAAAGCACAAAGAACTCGAAACTGCACTTTGTAAATCTAGAGACCAGGTGGTGCAAAAATGGACATTTCAAAGACAACCAATCGGGCTGTGGGTTTCGGTTTCCGGTAGATTCAGCTAACTTGTGATATGACTTTAAAAAATTCTGGCAGACGCTAAGCGTGTCAAACCAATGGAGAGTTATTTAACAGTTCCATAGCGCAAGTCAATGTTTTAATTTTTTTTTTGCAATGAGGCAAACTACTTAATTAACAGAGGTATTTATATAACGAACAAAACGTTATGGCGAAAACGGGCTTGTGTAGGTTTAACGTTATTTTAAACAAACACCCGAGACTAGGGAAAAGACGAAGGACAACAGAACACAAAGTCTCGATAACAAAAGGAAACGTGAAGAGGACTAAGCTTGCCTCTTGTAGAATTAACGAACAAAAAGTTAGAGCGCAAACGAGATGGTGAAGTTTTAACATAATTTTAGACAAATCTCCAGATTGGGGAAACGACGAAGGACGACACAACACACAAAGTTAGCAAAGTAGTTTTTTTTTTTTTTTTGCGCGCAAAAACTTAAAGGCAAAATTATAAAGCGTACTATGAAACGTCACACTGTGTTGTATCAATCAAGATAGGCTTCGCGTGTCTCACTTTGTAGAGCTTCAAAGAAAGTTCGCAACATTTTAGCTTTCTTTAATGAGCTATTCATTTATGTTTTCTGGCTAACTTTAACTGATCAAGAATATTGCATTGGTTCAAAGTCCGTCGTGTATACAAGCTTTGTTTAAAGTATAGCCATAAGTTAGCTGAAACACTATGTATATTTAGAGCTTCAAAGAAAGTTCGCAACATTTTAGCTTTCTTTAATGAGCTATTCATTTATGTTTTCTGGCTAACTTTAACTGATTACGAATATTGCATTGGTTCAAAGTCCGTCGTGTATACAAGCTTTGTTTAAAGTATAGCCATAAGTTAGCTGAAACACTATGTATATTAAAGAAAGAAAAAAGCGTGATACGACTGTTCGCTCTACTAAGTTTGCAAAAAAAACGCACTAAGTTGACTGATGTTGGTAGTAGAAAGCAAACAATAAGCAGATAAAGACGGGATACTCAATGCTTTGGATAAATGCCATTCACAAACACCAAGTAAAGATGAAACAACAACAAATACTGACTGCATTTATCGTACGTTAGATATCACATCCATAGTTACACATCCATCGTGCCATTACATCCATTGGGCACTTACGTCCAATTTCGTGCCATTAGATCCATCGTGCCCGTACATCCATAGTGCCAGCACCTCCAACGTGCCATTACATTCCTTTTTGGCAACTTCATTCAACATGCCATTACATCCATCATGCTGTTACATCCATCGTGCCCATTACATCCACCGCGTCATCACATCCATCGAGCAACTTCGTCCAAAAGCGTGTCGTTACATCCATCGAGCAGCTTCTTCCAGAAACATGCCATTACATCCATCAGTCACGCAGGTGTATTTCTTTGTTTAACTATGCTGTATAAAAGTGCACGTTGTATAGACCGACACGCGGACTCTACGTCACGGAGCTGCGGCGGCGCTGCGATCGCGCCGGAGCCGGGTGGTGTGGGCAAAAGGGCGCACGTTTTG